TCTGCGACCTCCACCAAACCCGCGGGCATTCCACCGTGAACTGCAAAGTTCTAGGCGCCAGACTTGCCGCAAAATTGGTCGCGGGAGAACTTTCCGAGATATCTAGTGTCAAGGATCCCATCCGCGATTCGGATCGCCTTCCAAAGAACGACAGGAACGCGCGAGCAGAAACTCCGCCTCAGGGAAACCAGTCAGGCGAAAAACACGGACGGAGACAAGACGAGAAGGGTAACGACGCTAACCGTCGAAAAATCAACATGATTATCGGCGAATCGCAATATTACAACGACGCCGTCTCGTCTATAAAATCCTACCAATGCAAAGCCGAAACCGGCTCGAGTTGGAAGGTGCCGACGGATGACTCTCCGAAAGGAGTGATCTCATTCGACGACGCTGAAACCGGCGGAATCGACCAACCTCACGCCGATCCTCTCGTCATCGACTTAGTAATAAGCGATTTGGAAGTTGCTCGGATCTTGGTCGATACCGGAAGTACTGTCAATGTAATCTTCTGCAACACGCTAGCACGCATGGGAATCGACCTCTCGGAAGTCAAGCCGATTCCAAAACCGTTGACTAGTTTCTCCGGCGAGACGTCAATGACCCTGGATCAATCCGACTACCAGTTGCCGCAAAAGAAGTGTTGAAAATCGTTAACTTCGCGGTAGTCGATTTCCTGGCTATCTACAATGTAATCATGGGCACGCCTTGGATAAATTCCATGAAGGCGGTTCTGTCCACGTATCACTTAGGCATCAAATTTCCGACGCCTACGGGAGTGGCAGTAATTTGGGGATGCCAAAGACAATCGCGATCCATCTTCCTGGCCGAACACAAGCTGCGGCAATTGGCGGTCGCGATCGTGAAACCAAAACGGGCAAAGGTCACGCCACCGCCCGCAGAAGACGACCCAAAGCAAGCAACGGCCGAGAAACCAGAAGTTTCCGCACCCATCGCTTCCACCCGACCGGAGGAGACAATTGAATGTATCTTATATAAACTCTAAAGTTCGACGAATATGAAATGTAGACACAGCTCAAAAGTCTAAATATGATAGAATCTGCTTAAGGATGAGTTGTACGTTCTCTACACAGTATATAAGTTACATTAATTTCCCAAAACGTGTTTCAAGGAATTTCTTGTCAAAAATAAAAAGGGGAAACTGTTTTTTTAGACCAAATAGCTTTGGATATTGTCCCTTTAGGCTAAATTATATTTTGTACCAATTTTGACTTTAATGCCCTTTATGTATTTTCGAAATTATTAAAAAAAAATAGATTTATGAAGCAATTTTTTTTTAAAAAATAGTACATAATGATGAAATCTCTATATCTATATAGTGATATTTTTTT